TAGGCAAAAAGAGAAAATAATTCAGAGAAATTAAGAGAAGAAAAGAAAGATTGAGTTGAGATGTAAAGTATTCTATGGGAGTTTTTCAAAGGAGAGCAGGTAAGTTATTCCTGGTCTCCTGACCAATATTTATCCCTCAAAAACAGATTTGAGTCATTATCACATTGCTGTTTGTGAAGCCTTTATTGCGTGTAAATTGATTTCCATGTTTCCAACATTATAATACACTGGCCACACTCCCCTATATCAAGAACATATCAGAACTGACAAGACTTCTACAACCACTAGGAATCATGGTAACACACAAACCCACAGCCACACTATGACTAACACTCACCCCATACATGCATTTCAAACGTAGTTTATAGAATACCTTGCAATGATTGCAACAAACACTACATCAGCCAGACCAGAAGGAAACTAGCCATTAGGATACACGAACACCCGCTCACAGCAAAACGACACAACAAACTTTCCCTCATCTCGGTGCACTCAGACAATGAAGGCCATCAATTTAACTGGGACAATGTGACCATCCTAGCTCAAGGCAACCAGAGACACACGCGGGAATTCTTAGAGGCCTTGTTTTCAACCTGTAATGTAATCAACCAACATGTGCAATTAGACCCCATACAAACTCATGCAGAACAGAACTAGAGATGACGCAACCCAACTTAACAGACCAGATTATATAAATACAAAGCGGAGTAGAACAACATCGCCTCATCAGAGGCCGCACTGATGATGTTACCTAGCATGGTGACGAAACGTCTGTACGATAACCAGCCAGCTCGATGAGCAAGCCAACAACCTCATTATAATAGTGACTACAGGTAGGAAGTTGTCCTTTCCAAACATTTTACACTGGAAAGTTTTGAAAGGTTAAATGCAGGTCTGTCTTTCTGATAATGGGCAGTAAATCTGAAAATTTTTCATTGGACTTTCACCAATGAACAGGGTTTTTCAGACCGGGGCCAAGGACTTTCACCGTCAGACGCGGGTTAGTGACAGCAGCACCATGGAATCCGATATAGAGCTCCAAGTGCCACCATCATCAGTTCACAATGGACAGAAGGCAGTGAGACTCATTAGTTTTCATACGTATAAAGGAGTTGAAGCTAATAGATAGCTATTTGGATACATATTAAGTAGATTAAGCTAATAAATTTTTCTATATGTTTTAAAGCACGTGTCTTCTTGTATTCATTGTGATCAGACCTTAAAGAACCCAACAGGTACTTTCAGCCTAACAATACACACTCAGAGAGTCAGTCAGAAATGCACCTCCATTGACCACAGTAGTCTGACAGCCAACAGCTCTAAGGGGTGTTAACTGGTTGGAGACAGGACTTCCTCCCCTCACTGAGGTGGATATTCTGCCTCGCAGAGAGCTACAGGACAACAATTCCAGCAGCACTAGTCGCTATGGTGGTCAAAATTAGAGTTATGTAACATCCTCAGGTTTTGTGTCCCAGGACAGAATTTAAGATTTAGGTCCTCATGGGATGTTTGCAGGCAGAGTGGTCTGTCAAATTTATTCTCTATAGAACCCGCAGGGTTGATCTGCCATCAGATGGTAAGGGTCAGAAGTCACATGACACCAGGTTATAGTCCAACAGGTTTATTTGAAAACACAAACTTTCGGAGTCTTACTCCTTTTTCAGAGTTAGTGAGAGAGGTAGTATCAAGCAAAAAATTTATAAGTAAAAGATCAAAGGGTCACACTACTGACGAGGATGTTCTAAACAAACCTAAGATGTTGTTAAATCTTTAATCAGTTAGAAAGTTTTAGTTGATTAATATGTATATGTAAATCCCAAATTCCTTTCAAGTCACTGTCCTGAGAGAACTAAAGGTTTTATCAGTGTAAAGAAGAAGTGACATTTTAGGTCAGACAACGCATGTTAGGTGTGAGGTCATGTTTAGAATCTGTTTGTGATTTGGTTTGGAGTCAGACTGGTTTTATTTCTCAAATAGGAATTTATAAAATGCCACATTGACTGACTGTTTATAAATTGTGTGCTTTTTGAACAAAATAGAACATATCTGCAAATACAAATTCATCCCATAGATTCATGTGTGTGCGTGCGTGCGTGTGTGTGAGAGAGAGTGTGTTTGTGTAAGGGAGAGAGAGGGAGACAGAGAGAGAGAGACCTGTGTGTGTGTGTGTGTGTGTACAAGAGAGGTTCTGTGTTAGAGTGTGTGTGTGTATGAGAGAGGATCTGTGTGAGAGTGTGTGTGAGAGAGACAGTGTGTGTATGAGAGAGGATGTGTGTGTGTGCGTGCATGTGTGTGAGTGAGTGTGTGAGAGTGTATAGTGTGGTGGGGTCACCTGTAGTGCGACATGAACCCAAGATCCTGGTTGAGGCCATCCTCATGGGTACCAAACTTGGCTATCAGCCTCTACTCGGTGACTCTGTGTTGATATGTATCCTGAAGTCCACCTTGGAGGACGTTTACCCAAAGAATGTCCTTGACTGCTGAACTGTTCCCCCACTGGGAGGGAACATCCTTGTCAGGTGATTGTTGTGCGGTGTCCATTTATTCATTGTCATAGTGTCTGCATGGTTTCGCCAATACACCATGGCTCATGGCATCCTTGCCTGCAGCGTATAACATAGACAACATTGGCCGATTCACATGAGTACCTGCCATGCACGTGGTTTCCACGTGTGATGGTAGTATCCATGTCGATGATTTGACATGTCTTGCAGCGTTCTTACTTTAGAAATAAAACCAGTCCAAACCAAATCTCAAACAAATTCTAAACAAGGCCTCACACCTCTCATGTATTGTCTGATCTAAAATGTCACCTCTTCTTTACCCCGATAAAACTTTTAGTTCTCTCAGGACAGTGACTTGAAAGAAATTTGGGGATTTACATATACATATTAATCAATTAAAACCTTCTAACTGATTTCAGATTTAACAGCATCTTAGGTTTGTTTAGTGTATCCTCATCAGTGGTGTGACCCTTTGATCTTTGACTTATAAATTCTGTGTCGGATACTATCTCTCTCACTAACACCTGAAGAAGGATTAAGACTCCAAAAGCTTGTGTTTTCAAATAACTATAACCTGGTGTCGTGTGATTTCTGACCTTGGCCACCCCAGTCCAACACTGGTACCTCCACATCTGATGATAATAGTAGAGTGGAAGGTTTGCCATGCCTTGGAATTGTAGATTGTGATTGCTCACAGCTTTTCATGGGTGTCCCGTTTTGAATTGGTGGATCTGTTTGAAAGCTGTCTCTTTAACACAGTACACCACAAAACATAATGGAGGGTATCTTTAATGTGAAGATGGGACTTTGACTTTATAAGGGCTGTGTGGTGAACACCCCTTCTAACACTACCATGGATGGATACCTGTGTGACAGGCAGATTGGTGAGGATGAAGTGATGTAGATTTTTCCCTCTAGTTGGTTCCCTCACTACATGCCACATACCTGGTCTAGCAGCTGTGTCTCTTTGGAGTCAACCAGTGCCATCAGTAGTGGTACTGCAAGATATTCTTGGTGATGGATATCAAGGTCCTCACCCAGAGTACATTCTATATCTTTTCTACCCTCTGAATTGCCTCAATGTGGAAGAATACTGATTCTTCAGCTGGGGTTTGGGGTTTAACACCTCATGTGAAAGTGGGACCCTTGAGGGAAGCAAACAAATACCTCCTCTCAAACCTTCCGTCCTGAGTAGGGTGACCTGCTGGTTTCTTCCTCAACCTTAAAGTCTTCCTGCCTGATTCAAGCAGCCTCAATTGGAGCAAGGGTAGACAGGCTTTTTTACATAAAGAGTAGTTCGTGTGTGGAATGAACTGCCAGAGAAAGTGGTGGACGCATGCACAGTTGCAATATTTAAAAGACATTTGGAAAGGTTTGGAGGGATATGGACCAAGCAGGGGCAGGTGGAACTAGTTTAGTTTGGGAACATTGTTGGTGTGGACTAGTTGGACCGAAGTGTCTGCTTCCATCCTGTATGACTCTAAGGCTGCCTTTGTCTTCACCTCCCACTGCCAAATCCTGTAAAATCACAGACAGGCCGGGGGTGAGTGGCAAATGACAGGAAGGGCACCCAGGGAATTTTACAAGCTCTAACTTAAAAGCAAAATACTGCAAATGCTGGAGAACTGGGGAAAAAAAACTTAGCAGGTCTGGAAGCATCTGTGGAAGGAAAGAGAAACAGAATTCTGAGGAGTCATAGCAAACTTTTAAAAAACAAAAATCACTCTTGGGATATAAGCATTGCTGGCTGGCCTGCATTCATTGCCTGTCCCTAGTTGCCCTTAACAAGATGGTGGTGAGCTGCCTACTTGAACCACTGCAGTCCATGTGCTGTAGGTTGACCCACAATGCTGTTAGGGGAGTGGAATTCCAGGATTTTGACGCAGCAACAATGAAAGAAAGGTGATATATTTCCAAGTTAGGATGGTGAATGGCTTAGAGAGGAACTTGCAGGTGGTGGTCTTCCCATGCATGTGCTGTCCTTGTCCTTCTAGATGCAAGTGGTATGGATTTGGAAGATGTTGTCTAAAAGTCTTTAGTGAATTCCTGCAGTGCATCTTGTAGATAGTACACACTGCTGCTACTGAATGTTGGTGATAGAGGGAGTGAATGTTTGTGGATTTGGTGCCAATTTTGAACGGGCTGCTTTTGGTGTCAAGCTCTTGAGTGTTGGAGCTGCATTCATCCAGGTAAGTCGGGAGGTGAGTTACTCACCACAATATTCCTAGCCTTTAACCTGCTCTTGTAGCCACACTATTTATATGGCTAGTCGCAATGGCCAATGAATCTAAATATTAACTTTTACTATAGGTACGTCCATGGCTTTATATTTTTATCCCTGAAACTGTGGCACAGGTATCACCCATTCCAACACCCTGAAACTCCACTCCTGGTGTTACCATTCCAGCCTCCCTGAAACTCCGCTCCTGGTTTTACCAATTCCTCCACCACAAAACTTCACCTTTAGCTGACGTCACAGCCCGGCAGACACTAGTCAATGCGCATGTGCAATGCCAACCAACTTCCGCTGTTGCTTTTCCAGTGGGTGTTTATGGAGCGTGTTTTATTTTGGTGGAGGTTTAAATGTGCTGAGGAGGTCCATGTAAAATTGATTTAAAATAATTAATTGCGAAGATCTCGGGATGATTGAGGTGGTGGCAAAACTCCTTCGGGGCCCGGTGTTTCTGACCGGCGAAGTAATGGAGTGTGTTATAACTTTCACCAATCCCATGACTGCCCGCTCCACCTCGGCCAGCAGGTAAAGGTCAGCGCGAGCGCCGCTTCCTCCGCCCGACCGACCGTTACCAGACAACCAGAGCGTGCTGGTCACCCTGGTAACCAGGTAGCTCAAGGTATTCATCACCTTAGTAACCAGGTGGTCCAGACTGTTCGTCGCCTGGTAATTATCATGCCTGATACCTGTCAATAGTAATGTTGTAAAGCATCATTAGAATTTCCTCCCTAAATATTTCTGCCTCTGTACTACCTCTTCCTCCTCAAACACCTTCCTGATGAAGGTTCCCGACCTGAAACATCGACTTTCCTGCTCCTGTGATGCTGCCTGACGTGCTGTGTTCCTCCAGCTCCACACTGTATTGACTCTTCCTTAAAATCTTTAATTGCTGGAAAAACTCAGCAGGTCTGGCAGCACCTGTGGAGAGCAATCTGAGAGAACCCATTCTTCCCTGATGTTATTAGACTGCTGAATGGGCCTCTCCAGTTTTAAATCTAATATTGACCTTGCTTTTGTGCACTTCTTATGCAGTTGTAACCTTGTATGCCTTGCTCAATCTTAGTACCCTATGATCTGTATGGCCTTAATAAAAACCAAAAGAACTGTGGATGCTGTAAATCAGGAACAAAAACAAAGTTGCTGGAAAAGCTCAGCAGGTCTGGCAGTATCTGTGAAGGAGAAAACAAAGTTAACGTTTTGGGTCCGGTGACCCTTCCTCAGATCTGTATGTCTTTGTTTGCTATAAGCTGCCTGTACTGCTAGCAAAACAAAATTTTTTACTGTACTTAGGTACATTTGACAGCAATAAATCAAAACAAATCTAATCACTGGACCCAAAAATTTAACTCTGATTTTTCTCTGCACAGATGCTGCCAGACCTGCTGAGATTTTTTCCAGCAACTTCTGTTTTTTCTGATTTCCAGCATCTGCAGTTATTTTGTTTTTTTTCCTTAAAACTTTTTGTTGGCCAGGCTTTTGCCTGATTGCCTTGTGTCACTCAATGTCAAGACTTGTTCCATATTCCTTGAAGTGCCTTGGCAAGTATTATTGTATTCCTGCCTCCTGAAGTTCCCAGCATCCCAGAATCCAGTTCCCAGCCAATTTTTCTCTCTCTACATGATATCAAGAAATGGCTGAAGGCACTGGACACAGCAAAATCTATGGACCCTGTCAACATTTTGTCAGTGCTGCTGAAGGCATGTCCTCCAGAACTAGCTGTGCCTCTAGCCAAGCTGTTTCAGTGTAGCTACAATGCTGCCATCTATCTTACATGTGGAAAAATGCACAGTTATCCACAAAAAAATGCAAGATAAATCCAACCTGGCTAATTGCTGCCCCATCAACGTCCTCTCAATCGTCACCAAAGTAACGGAAAGAGTCAACACTGATGTCAAGTGGCACTTGAACAACAATAACTGGTTCACTGACATTCAGTTTGTGTTTCTCCAGGGCCACTTGGCTCCTGGCCTTATTATAATCTTGGTCCAAATGCAGACAAAAGAAGCTGAATATGAATGGAGGTGAGAGTGACTGCTATATTCATCAAGACATCATTTAATTGAATGTGGCATAAACAGCCCTAGCAAAATTTCCTAGCAAATAATTATTTCAGGAGAAAGCAGACCACTTGACTGGCACCCATCCACCAACTTAAACATTCACTCCCTCTACCCTGATGCTTTCTGATAGCTGAATATGTTATATACAATGTTTGCAGGCTGTCACAAGACTCTTTCAATAGCACATATTCCAAACCTATAACCTCTGCCACTTGGAAGGACAAGGGCAGCAAATGCATGGTACCACCATCACCTGCATGTTCCCCTGCAAGCCACACACTATCCTGACTTGGGAACTTTATTGACATTCCCATATAAGTTGGAATGTAATCCTTCAAGAAGACGGCTTCTCAAGATCAGTTAGGGATGGGCAACAAATGCCCATGTCCTGTGAAATAATTTTTAAAAAAATGTTAAAGACAAGTTTTTGATGTTTTCTTGTCAGCTGATGAAGCATGCTAGTAGTGGATGTTACTGATTTGTACATGGTGCAGTATTGATCAGTAAAGTATATGTTTTTTTTGTAAGACACAACTAAAGAGAAAAAGAAAATATCAGGCCAGTGTTTTTACGAGGATAAACTAACTTATGAAACAGCATGCATGCAGAAAATAATACATTATTTGGGTTCGGTTAGTCAGTTGGCTGGATGGCTGGTTTGCAGAGTGATGACAACAGCATAGGTTCAGTTCTGTACCGGGTGAGGTTAGCTTGAAGAACTCTCCGTCTCAACCTCTCCCATTGCCTGAGGTAACCCTAAGGTTAAATCGACACTAGTCATGTCTCTCTTCTCTCTCCAACTTCTGTCTACCACCACTAAGCTAATTTTGGATCAATCTTGCCATGTACTTTTACCTTCTTTGTCAGTCTCCTATGTTGGTCATTTTCAGAGGCTGTGCTGAAATCCATATAAACTACACCAACTGCAGTACTCTCATCTAAACACCAGGTCACATTCTTGAAAAATTCAATCAAATTTGGTAGGCATTACCTCCCCCTGACAAAGTCATGCTGATTATCCCTGATCAAGTGGAGATTAATTCTCACGTTCAGAATTTTCTCTAATAGTTTCCCTACCACTGATGTGAGATTCACTATACTTCCCTGGTTTATCCCTACCACCCTTCTTGAAAAGTGGAACCATATTAGCTGTCCTGTAGTCCTCTGGCACCTCACCTGTGGCCATTGAGGAATGAAAAGTTCAGATCAGAACCGCCATAATTTCCCCCTCCATCTCCCACAGCATCCTGGGATATACCTCATCCGGATCTGGAAATTGGTCCATTTTAAAACTCTCCAATACCTCTTCAATCCCTATGTCAAGCTGCTCAAGAACTTCACAGTCCCTCCTCCTGAATTCTGTACCTACATTCTCCTCCTCCAAAACGTATCATTTTACACCTCTGCATTTTAAATTTCATCTGCCTTGAGCCTGTCCATGTCACCCATCAATCTATGTTCATCTGGTGCGTGCTACTAATCTCACTGTTTATTACATTTCTAAGCTTTGTGTCATGTGTAGACTCTGAAATAATGCCACCTAAAGCCAGGACCAAAACAATACATTATCATAAATGGTTCTAATGCCAGCCCAGACGGAGATCACTGTATTCTTGCCTCCAGACTGAAAAACAGCTGTTCACTGCTTTCTGTCTGTCTGACTAATGTTGCATCCATACTGCCACTGTCTCTTTAACCCCACAGTTTAAAATATAGCTAACAAGTCTGTTATGTGATGCTTCATCATGTACCTCATGAAAGTATAAAGAAACTAATGGGGATCATTTAAGTTTATAATTTTTGTCAACGTAATTTCAGTTAAACATAATTCCGTATTAAATAACTGCCTATTCTTGGGACTAATTGATCGTATATCTTTCTTTTGGTTATCTTGTAATCGTGAAGTTGCTGTGACACATTCTTATCATTGTTGTCTCAAAAGTGCAGTTTAGAATGCCCGCTGCTGTTTGTAAGATAATGGAGAAATCACTCTATCTTAGATAGGTTTCCTCTTGTCAGTTAAGTGTATTGACTATTGCTTTATTACTACTAAATCATATTATTCTTAAACACAGGAATACCTAACACTAATCGCCAAATCTGCTTAAGATCTAGAGTATAATTGGTGTAGAAAGAAGTAAGTCTGATTTATACTGAGATCAAGTCATGTAGAAAGTTCAGTGATCCTTGGTCTTGATTCATGTCTTAGTTTTTTGTGATATCAGGTATGACCTTGATACCTAGGTTAGGGAAAGTAGCATTAGCTTTTTTTTATTCTTCATGCTCAGAAGTATTAGAGCTAATTTTGGAAACTTTTGACTATTTGCCTGTTGAACTAATAATAAATTGACCAGGTTTTGGAAAGCAGTTTGTAAAATATGCTAAGGTAGTGCAAAAGCATTATTTTCCAAGCAACCAATGCATTTTGAATATCCCTAAAGTTTAATTGAATTTTACAACTTTACAACTTGTCAACTAGAGCATGCGAAAGTATTTTGCACTTGAGCCACGGGTTTTTTCTTTTATTTATCAGTGAGATGTTGGCATGGGCAAGTGCTCAGATACATTGCCAGTTTCATACCAGTGAAAGTCGTGTTGCACTACCACCCTCTGAAGATACAAAGCATGATGTGCAGGCGGAGAATGAAACAGTCTTTGTTCCAAACAGAGGTATGATATTTTTTCTGTGCTTCCTTCTGTTCTCGATACAAGAAGGTCTGATTCTTAGATAGTAGGAACTGCAGATGCTGGAGAATCCGAGACAACAAGGTGCAGGGCTGGATGAAAACAGCAGGCCAAGCAGCATCATAGGAGCAGAAAGGCTGACGTTTCGGGCCTAGACCCTTGATTCTTTCTGTTTTTCAGATTGACACTTTTTGAAATGTTTGCAATGTATTATGACATTGTTTACCCTGTCTTGTAATTTTCCAGATTTGAAAGTTTATGTTAGTGAGCTCACTAATAGAGTCATGGAGTCATAGAGCACAGAAACAGATCCTTTGGTCCAAATACTCTATGCTGACCAAGTTTCCCAGACTAAACCAGTTCCACTGCCTGCGTTTGGCCAATATCCCTTTAAATTTACACTTTTGGAATCATAGATAATGGCCATCTTTGATCATTTGTCTGCATCTTTCACTATGCCCATCCACTTGCTCCATTTCCTTGCATCTGAACTGGAAAAGGTCATCACCAAGCCACCTACAATAGTACTTTCTATCCCCAACAATGTTGCCTCTCCGCACATTCAACCCTGCACTTTTTGCAGTTATTAATCTGCTCAATCATTCTTTCATCTTTGATGCTTTGTCTCAAGTAAAATGTCTGTCTTTCACTGGCCATTTACTTTAATATACCTCCCATCAAGACTCCGTTAAACCCAATGATGTAAATTTCCAGGATCATTTTGAAAAACAAAGCTAGCCCCCACTTTTCATGGTGGTAAACATCTCCTGATTGTCTACCACATCCGACACTGTACAACAAACTCATGGACTTCTTTGTTAATAAGATTGAGATCGTCTATTCAGCTGTTTCTGCCAGATCACATCCTTTTCCCCATGCAAAACTATTTCTAAGATTCTCCCTACTATGAACTTTCTTCTATTTAGTTTCTAGCCTAATCTTTCCTCAAAATTTATTTCCTTTATGAGCTCTTCTTATCCGTGTGATTAGCTTTCAGCTCTTTTCCTGTCCTATTCTCATTAAACTGCTGGTGATCCATTTCTTTTCCTGCCTCCCACGCTAGCTGATACCGTTAAAAGTTTCCTCTCCTTGGGTACTATGTCAATCTCTTCAAAATGTGCTGTCTTTGCCCACCTCCTCAAAAAACCCTAGCTTCACCTTTTTTGTCCATGCAAACAACTGCCTCATTCCGACCTCCCTTTTCTCTCAAGTCTTTTCACATAATATTGCCTCACAGATCTATATCCATTCCTTCCTCAATTCCTTGTTTGAACCTGTCCAATCTGATCTCAGCTGCGCTGTGGCACTGAAATTGCACTAATTAAAGTCACAAATGGCTTCTGTGACTATCATATATTATCCCTGTTCATCTTCCTTGACTTGGCTAGCATTACTCATCACACCATCCAGCTTCAATGCATTTCCTCAATTGTGCATTTTTGTTTTATGTCCATTCATGTCATTTTATGTCAGTGTCACTGTATAGTCCAGCATTTAATGCCCATTCCTAATTGCCCAGAAGGCAGTTAAGAGTCAAACACATTGCTATTGGGCTGGAGTTACGTGTAGGCCTGACCAGATTTCCTTTCCTAAAGGAATTAGTGAAACAAATAGGTTTTTGCTGACAGTCGACAATGGCTTCAATGTCGTCATTAGTTTCTTAATTCCAGATTTTATTGAAATCAACTTACCATCTGTCATGGATTCAAGCCCAGGTCACCAGAACATTTCCTGGGTTTCCGGATAAATAGTCTACCAATAATACTACTAGGCCAAGCCTCCCCACATTTGAGTCCGGTTCAACATTTATACAGTTGATGTAACAGATCCACGGCGGATGCCATTTCCCTAGCCCTGTGCTCGTCCCTGGAACATCTGCACAACAAGGACACCTATGTCAGACTCCTGCTCATCGACTACGGTGCTGTCTTCAACACCATTATCCCCTCCAAACTGATCTCAACACCTTGGTAAAAACCGAAAGAACTGTGGTTGCTGGAAAAGCTCAGCAATCTGGCAGCATCTGTGAAGAAAATATCAGAGTTAACGTTTCAGGTCCGGTTACCCTCAGAAGTTTGCTGACAACACCACAGTGGTAGGACGGATATCTAACAATAACAAGTCAGAATACAGAAAGAAGATAGGGCTTGGTGATGTGTTGCAATGAGAGCAACCTCTCTCTCCATGTTAGCAAAACTAAAGAACTGATCATTGACTTCAGGAAGAAAGGAGGAGAACACATTCACATCTGTATCAACAGAGCTGAGGTTGAAAGGGTGGAGAGTGTCAAGTTCCTAGGAGTGTTGACAACTGACAACCTGTTCTGGACTTCCCTTGTGGATGCGACGATCAAGAAGACACAACAATGCCTTTTCCTCAGGCGGCTCAGGAAATTTGACATGTCCATAAGGACCCTCACCAACTTCTACAGATGCCCCATTGAAAGCATACTGTCCGGGTGCATAATGGCCTGGTATGGCAACTGCTCTGCCCAGGACTGTGAGAAACTGCAGAAGGTTGTGTCATCAGTCCAGACCATCACAGAAAGCAACATTCAATCCATGTACTCTACTTACACAACTCGATGCCGCGGAAAAGCTGCCAACATCATCAAAGATCCATCGCATCCTGGTAATGCTCTCCTACAACCTCTTCTGTCAGGCAGAAGGTACAGAAGCTTGAACACACACACCAGCAGGTTCAGGAACAGCTTCTTCCCTGCCATTATTAGACTGATGAATGGACTCTCTACCTTCAAATAATGCAAGCTTGCCAATATTGATCATTCCTAGCGCATGCCCTTTGCGACGTAACCTGTCTGCCTCAGTCTAAGTTTCTTTTTCATCTTATGATCTGAATGTCCTTGCTTACTGCCTGTACTGCTTATAAACAATGCTTTTCCCTGTACTTAGGTACATGTGACAATAAATAAATCAGATCAAATCAAAGTCATAGCAAGAGATTCTCCTGTGATGGTTTCAGTTCCCACCCCAACCTTTTATCTCTGGTGTCATTTAAGGTCTTTGGCCCCTCTTACATCTCAGTTTCGGCTATGAAGAGAGGTTGCATAAGCTTAAGTGTTTTCTTTGGAACAGAAAAGATTGAGAGGGGACTTGATAGAGGCCTGAATGGTGAATAGAAAGCAACTGTTCTGCTTAGTTGAAGGGTCACTGAGAAGGGGCCGAATTTTAAGGTGAAAGACAGGAGGTTTGGGGCTGTGTAATTTGAGGAAATATCTTTACACGCAGAGGATGTTGGGGATCTGGAACACATTGCCAGGGAGGGTACTTGAGAGGGGAAATCTCACAACCTTTAAAAAATATTTGTATGTTAGACACTTCAAGTGCTCATCCAAGGCTATGAGTCTAGTGTGGGAAAGTGGGACTTATGCAGGTAGTAGTTTGTTTTTGATGGGACAGATTTAATTGGTCAAAAGGCCTCTTCTGTGAACCAAATGCTACATCTAGACAACATATCTAAAGAGTCAGTTTCAAGTATCATGCTTATGTGCTCTACCTCACCACCATCTAGCTCAGCCCCTCACTTTCTTTTGAAGTACCATTTATCTGACATCCAATGTTGAGTGATTGAAAATTTCCTTCAACTAAACAAAAGGAAGAGTAAAGCTATTGATTTCGGCCCACACCACAAACTGTTCTCTCTCCACAAATTCCACGTTCTTTCTTGCAGCCTTGGCCCGAATCAAAGTGTAACATTGATATCCTGACGACTCAGAGTGAAGATTCTGATCCTATCTCCTCTCCAGCATTTCTAACTCTCTTGTGGCCCTTTTTGTCTTTTCATCTCCACCTTTCCTCTTTTTAAGATGCTGCTTAAAGCCTACCTCTTTGACTAAGAATTTAATCAACTGTTCTCGTGTCTCCTCTGGCTGTATCCACGTTTGGACAAAGTCAGAAGTCATGTGACACCAGGGTATAGTCCAACAGGTTTATTGGAAATTATAAGCTTTCAGAGAGCTGCTTCTTTGTAAGGTGAAGTGGAGGGAAGTGTGCAGGCACAAAATTTATAGGCAGAAGGATAATTGCAGGATAATTCCAGATAATTAGGAGTTTCAAAAAATAGTACACACGATGTGGGTGGAGTGTCCATGGGTGGAATAACGAGTCTTTTTCATTCCTGTCTCTTTTTCATAGCATTGTTAGCTTTGCCCTTAGTCTCTTTAGCTCCCTGCTCTATCATTGTCTGCCTAAAGCCTTCATTCTCTGGATCCTTTTCTTCCTTCTTTAGGAATGATCCCAGAAGCCACTGCTCTTAATAGCTCCTTCCTTATTTTGATATTCATATTTCCCTTGCGCTTCTGTACCTCTCTACCTACTGAGTCATAGAGTTATACAGCACAGAAACGGACCTTTGGTCCAACTTGTCCATGCTGACCAGATGTCCTAAACTGATCTAGTCCCATCTGCCAGAGGTTGGTCCGTATCCCTCTAAACCTTTCCTATTCATGTACCCATTCAGATGCCTTTTAAATATTGTAATTGTACCCACCTCCACCACTTTCTCTGGCAGCTCATGTCATTACATGCACCACCCTCTGCAAGAAAAAGTTGCCCATCAGGTTCGTTTTAAATCTTTCCCCTCTCACCTTAAACTTTACGCCCTCTAGTTTTCAACTTCCCCACCCTGGGAAAAAGACCTTGGCTATTCACCGCATCCACATCCCTCATTGTTTTATAAACCTCTATAAGGTCACTCCTCAGCCTCTGACACTCGAGAGAAATAAAGTTCCGGCCTACTCAGCCTCTTTCTAGAGCTCAAACCCTCCAATCCCTGCAATATCATTGTATATCTTTTACGAATCTTTTCAAGTTTAACATCGTCTTTCCTATAACAGGGAGACCATAATTGAACACAGTATTCTAAAAGTGGCCTCACCAATGTCCTGTACAGCCACAACCTGACGCCCCAACTGCTATATTCAATGCACGGATCAATGAAGGCAAGCATGCCAAATGCCTTCTTCACTACCCTGTCTACCTGTGACTCCACTTCCAAGGAACTGTGAACCTGCACCTCTAGATCTCTTTGTTCGTCAATAGTCCCCAGGGCCCTACCATTAACTGTATAAGTCCTGCCCGGGGTAGCCTTACCAAAATGCAGCACCTCACATTTATCTAAATTAAACTCCATCTGCCACTCCTTGCCCCATTGGGGCCATCTGATCAAAGTCCCATTATACGCTGAGACAACCTTCTTCACTGTCCACTACCCCACCAGTTTTGGTGTCATCTACCAACTTACTAACCATACCTCCTATATTCACATCCAGATCATTTATATAAATGATGAAAAGCAGTGGACCCAGCACCAATCCTTGTGGGACACTGTTGGTCACAGGCCTTCAGTCCAAGAAACAACCCTCTACCACCACCTTCTGTCTCCTGTCTTCAACCCAGTTTTGTATCCCAATTGGCTAGCTCCCCCTGGATTCCATGTGATCTAACCTTACTAGAGGGATTGAGTTCAAGAGCCGTGAAGTTATGCTCCAGCTATACAAAACCCTGGTTCGGCTACATCTGGAGTATCGTGTCCAGTTCTGGTCGCCTCATTACAGGAAAGATGTGGAAGCGTTGGAAAAGGTGCAGAGGAGATTTACCAGGATGTTGCCTGGAATGGAGGGAAAGCCTTACGAGGAAAGGTTGAGAGAGCTAGGGCTTTTCTCTTTAGAACGACGAAGGATGAGAGGTGACTTGATAGAGGTGTCCAAAATGATCAGAGATATAAATAGAGTGGACAGCCAGAGACTTTTTCCTAGGGTGGAGGTAGCTATTATGAGGGGGCATAGTTTTAAAGTGAGTGGAGGTAGATATAGGGGAGACGTCAGATAGTGGTAGTGGAGTCGGCCTCATTAGGGACATTTAAGCAGCTATTAGATGGGCATATGGATGATAGTATAAGGTAGGGGTGGAGGTTAGATAGACCTTAGGTTTAGGGTAAAAGTTCGGCACAACATAGTGGGATGAAGGGCCTGTACTGTGCTGTACTGTTCTAAGTTCTAGCTAGTTCTAGCGGAACCTTGTTGAACACCTTTTTGAAGTCCATGTAGACAACGTCTGCTGCTCACCTTCATCAGTCGTCTTTGTCACCTCTTCAAAAACTCAATCAAGTTAGACATGATTTCCCACACACAAAGCCATGTTAACTATCCCTAATCAATTTGATTAATCTGATTTTCTGTTCTTTTCCTCACCTTCATATTCTGCTCCTATGATGCTGCTTGGCCTGCTGTGTTCATCCAGCCCTGCACCTTGTTGTCTCTGATTATTGAAGGTGTTGTGTACGTGCAAGTTTTTGCTGTGTTTCGCTATTAGCCTGGGTAATGTATTTACTCACTGAACCAATGGGAGTTTTATCAGACAGGTTTTAGTTAAAGAATCCTAGTTTTGTCTGCAAAGAATTTGCTTCCTTTAATGTTAGTAATCAGTTAAATATTTAGCGCAATTATTTCAACTATTCATTTGTTTTCAGGTGAGCGAGGGAAATGTATTCTAGCTACTCCACCCAAGATACTGTTCTGTGATTTGCGACTTGATCCTGGTGAATCAAAATCCTGTAAGTGCTTAATTAAAAACTGAAAGAACTGCTGATGCTGTAAATCAGGAACAAAAACAAAGTTGCTGGAAAAGCCCAGCAGGTCTGGCAGCATTTGTGAAGGAAAAAACAGAGTTAATGTTTCCGGTCCGGTGACCCTTCCTCAGAACTGATGGTGGCTAGGCAAATGTCAGTTTATATGCAGAAAATAGGGAGGAGGGTGGGCTAGGGAGTAAACGAGAGGATAGAGCCCAAAAAGAGAGAAAGACAGTTGGACAGACAAAGGAGTTGATAATGATCAGGTTGGGAGGGTGAATAGTTATTAAAGGGGACTATTAGTGACTAACAACAGGGAGTGTGTACTGGCAGGCTATGTAGTAACAAGGCCTGGTGTGTGAGTTTGGGGGCTGGGACATTGGACAGTTTAGGCCCTAAAATTATTGAACTAAATATTGAGTCTGGAGGGCTGTAGGGTCCCCAAGCGGAAAATGAGGTGTTGTTCCTCCAGCTTGCGTTGGGCTTCGCTGGAACACTGCAGCAAGCCAGAGGCAGAGATGTTGGCCAGGGAGCAGGGTGGTGCGTTAAAGTGGCAGGCAACAGGTAGCTCAGGGTCTTTTTTGTGAGCAGAACGTAGATGACTATATGTCCTCACACCCTATTTCCTGTAAAGACTCAGTCCCGTTCCCTCAGTTCCTCAGTCTCCGTCGCAAATTTTCAGACGAGTCCAACTTCGACAAGGGAGCCTCCGAAACGTACACCTTCTTC